TTATATATATATAAATAATTAAACATACGTCGATGTTTACGTTTCTTTTCTACTAAACGTGTTGTATCAATTTCAAGGTTAGTTGCTGATGATGTTATAGGTGGTGTTGAATCAACAATAACAACTTGTTGATGAGTTTCCATTGATTGATCATGAGTATGTAACTTATCAATATTTGATGTTAATTCTTCATCATCATCGTCTTCAGTTCGATTTGTAGGTCGAATTTGAAAATGAGCAATTTCTTCATGAATAGCATTTTGTAATTGATCTAATGTCCATTTCTAAAGAATAAACAGTTTTTTTAGAAATAAAACACGTGTATATTTTTTATTTACTTCACTTTCAAAACCAGAATCAAATTTTTCTGTATCATTTTCCATCATAAAATCATCATTATCATCTAATTGTATAACAAATTCATTAACAAAACTATGTTTAAGTGCTGTATTTGCACTTATTCTTTGTTCAGGATCAATAACTAATAATTGACGTAATAAATCAATTCCATCATCAGTTGCATTCGGATATAAAGCTTTAAAATTAGCTGGTTGACGATTACCAACACCTAATATATATATTTATTTATTTATTATAATATAAATATATTTCATATTTACTTGAAATTAATCGTCGAAAACAATCACTATGTAATGATTGTAAATAAGATTTCGGTGGTGTACCAAGAATAATAAAGATTAACTGAATTTGTGCAATTGTATTTATTCCTATATAATTATTAATCATTTTTATCGAAATGAAACAAAAACTATCTACCTGAAAATATTGGTTTTCGTCCAAACATTTCAGCTAGAATACAACCCACAGACCAAAGATCAATTGCTTGAGTATATTCTGTATAACCAAGAATAACTTCAGGTGCACGATACCAACGTGTAACCACATATTGTGTTTGATTATGATCACGATATTGTCGAGCCATCCCTTAGGAAAAACAATAATTCATATACGAAATCGAAATGATTATTTCCCTTTACCAAAATCAGCTATTTTTAAATTACATGATTGACTAACAAGAATAT